GCTCCTCACTTTCTCCCTCTCATCACTACCTGTCGCTCCTCACTTTCTCCCCCTCATCACCACCTGTCACTCCTCACTTTCTCCCCCTCATCACCACCTGTCACTCCTCACTTTCTCCCTCTCATCACCACCTGTCACTCCTCACTTTCTCCCCCTCATCACCTTCTCCGTAAAACACTTTACCAGAACTTAAACGAACCACTCCTGTCTTCGTAGGTGTCTTTGCTGAAGCAGAACCAGGTGGAGTTTGAGTCGACCAAGCACGAGAGCCAGCGGCTGCAGGGGGAGCTGGAAGACCTTCACCTTCAGCTAGAAGAGCTGGGGGGGCTCAAGTCCATCGTGGAGCGCAAGCTGCAGGAGGCGCTGAGTTCCCTGGGCCAGGAGCGTGAGCAGAAGCACAACCTGAAGAAGGAGCTGGACCAGCGGATCACGCAGGAGTCCATGTTCAACCTCAGCAACCTGGCGCACCTGGGGGGTCTCAGCGAGGGTTTGAACCTCAACAACCATCACGGTGGGTCCCGCCGCCGCCGCCGCCGCCACGCCTCGTGTGTGCCGAGCCTCTTTCACCGCTGTTTGGGTGCTAGTGGTTGGCCGGTGCTCTGGTGTGGTTTGCTCCTTCTCTCCTGTCAAACATCTATTGTTCTTATCTCTCCTCCTCCTTGTTTTTGTACGTTGCTCTCTAGTAACGCATCTAATCTGCAAGTGCCGTGAAACTCGTAATAAAAACTTTAAATTAAAAAATAAATGTTTGGGTCGTTTTGAGCACTTCTCTGTTGTCAGTGTCTGTAAAGTTTTTGGTTTCAACCTTGTTCAGTTCTGTTCTGGTGGGTTTTTAAAAAAATAGTTCACAATTGTTGCTGTAAAGTTTTTGGTTTCAACCTCAACAATCAGTACGGTATGTCATGTTCTGAAGGCTGTTGCTCCCTTCCTAGTACTGTTTGGCTTATTTTGAATAGTTCTCTGCTGTTTTAAAGTCTTTCTTTTTCCGCCTTTTCCAGTTCTGTTGTGGTGGGTTTTAACACTTTTAAGTATACAGTATGCCATTCCCCCTATAAATGCAGTCAATTTTGTCCTCCAAAGTTCCCTATCATTCCACTCGTATATAACCTATTTGCATGAAATAAACACCAAACAGAAGAAATGAAGGATCTTTGCAATAAACATACAGTTTTAGTATCGGCAAGATGGATTTGCTGAGGGTTTTTATAGCTTTTGTCATGACTTAAAACAACAGAGGAATGCCATGGGCCGGCTGAACTGGCTGTCTATGTAATAAGAGTTAATTTGTCGTTCATTGTTGTAGCTCTAACGTTTTTGGGCTCAGTCTTGTCCCGCTCTGTTGTGCTGGTGGTTTGAAAGAAATAGTTCACTGTTGTTGCTGCTCAATCTTGATGGTCATCATGGTATGTTATGGTCTGAAGGGTATTGCTGTTATTTACGGCACTGTTTCAGTTGTTGTGAATACTTTTGTTGTCGCTTTTGTGTAAATTGTCTTTATTCTTTTCTTTTTAAAACAAAATTGTTAAATTTAAAAAAAAAATTTGCTAGAGGAAATCTTGCCAGCTTTTTTTTTTTTCTTTTTTAAATGACGAGAGAAAGAAATTAATAAGATTATATGCTGAAGAAAAATTGTTTGTGAGTAGTTGGAGAGCGCCACTTTTGGGTCCTACTTCTCTCTTTCCCTCTCTGTTATTTCTTTCTGCCTGTCTTACTTTTTCCCTCTCAGTAAATGACCATTACTTTGTCCATGTGTTTCTCTTGACTCAAGCAAGCCATTTTTGCCATTATCTTGCTTTGTTCATAATTATCCTCGCAATTTACTGGAAATGAGAACAGGGATATTGGAGACATCCTTAGCACTCCCCCCACCCCCCATCCTCCCTCGTCAGCCCTGTTTTATTGTATGATGTACTAAAGATTGTATTTTTTTCTCTCAGAGGAGGAGATGGACAGCAGCACCCACCCGACTCTCAAGCGAATCGAGGCCGACTTCTCATTCCCGGGGAAGAAGGAAGGGGACGCCACTCCGAGGCCGGGCACGGTGGGAGATATTCTCAGCGAGATACAGGTAATTCTGATAAATAATAACATTTCTACAATGCCGTTCCAATTTCTAAAAAATGCTTAACAATGTGCTTAACAGTTGAGCAGGTGGTTGGAGGATGTCACTGGTAGGTCTTACTTCTTTTCTTTCTTTCTGTTGTTTCTGTCTGTGTGTGGGTGGATGGAGATTGGAGAGTGCCACTGATAGGTCCTTCTTCTTTTCTTTCCTGCTGATGTTTCTGCCTGTATTTTGAGGGAATGCTACTATTTTCTCTGCCCTGTCTGTATTTTTAGAAGGTGCGACCAATTTCTTTGCCCTGACTGTATTTGAGAGGTACTACTATGTCCTCTGTCCTGTCTGTATTAATTTAGAGGGAGTGCTACAATTCTCTCCATCCTGTCTGTATTAATTTAGAGGAAGTGCTACAATTCTCCTTGTCCTACCTGTATTTTGACATAGTGCAACACTTGTCTCTGTCTGATCGGTGCAGGTGACAGAGGTGAGCAAGATGGAGAAGCTTCTGGAACAGTCGGAGTCGGAGAAGATGGAGCTCCAGAACGCCCTGGACGATGCCAAAAAGCTGATCGAGGACACGCAGAAGGACCTCATCGAGCAGAAGGAGCGAGCAGACCAGCTCAAGGCCACCATCGCCCACGTGGCCTCCATGCACGAAAGGCAGGCGCTGCCCAACGACCTCCAGGTTTGTAGCCGGCGTTGGAATTTTGTCAGAAAATGGAGATTTTGTGAGAGCTTAAGATGCTGTAGCAGTTTTTTGTGCTCTGTTGTAATGACAATTATAGTCTAAATTGTTTGTGGGGCCATCTACTGTCGAAGAGAAAAGTGCCTGTTTTAGGCAGTTGGACGTCTTACACTGTCGTTATAATATAACGAAAAGAAAAATGCAAGGAGGGAAATGGGAAGTGGCCTTTTGCTCAGGTGATTGTCTTATACAGTTGGCTGTTTAGAGCAGGTTTGACTGTGTATATGACATTTACATAGCGCTTTACGGCAGATAAAGAACTCAGGTTCTGCAGACACTGTACGAATACAGCTAGCAATACATGGACTATACATTGTGTGCTGACGAAAAATCTGTGAGTATCTCTAAAGTTTGGAGTGAGTGAAGAAGTAGTTCCATATCTTGGCTCTTACGGGATCTGTGGGATAGTCAGATGGTAGTTCTCTGTGTATTTTGGGGGGGGGGGTATGCGCTATATAATTGCAACTATTATTATTGTTGTATTTTAAACTCTAAACCGTGGGTGGTTGGCGGGTGCTGTGGGGTGGTTTGCTTCCTCTTCCCTGTCAAACATCTATCATCCTTATCTCTCCTTTTTTTGTGTTTGTTACTCTCTTGTAACACCTCTAATCTTCGGCACGTATATGACCTTATTGTGTTGCAAGTGCCGTAAAACTCTTACTGTGGGTCGTTGGCGGGTGCTCTGGTGGGGGTTTGCTCCTTCTTTCCTATCAAAAGTCTATCGTCCTTATCTCTCCTCCTTCTTTTTTGTGTTTGTTACTCTCTTGTAATCTTCGGCACTTAGTGTGTTGCAAGTGCCGTAAAACTCTTACTAAACCGTAACTAAACAATAAAATGTCTGGCAACTGCTGTCTGTTTGCCAGGTGTCGTATGACGAGGGCCTACTGGCGGAGATCGCGGGAGAGACAGACCCCGACAAGAAGGCGCTGCTGGAGCTGAAGCAGAACCTGCAGCACAATGAGAAGAAATACGGCACGGCCATGAGGGAGATAGGCAGCCTCCAGGCCGAGATCTCACGTCTGCAGGCCCGCAACGCCGTCGTCGGGAACCCCGATATTGAACAGGTGGGTGTCTGTCTGTCTCTGTGTGTTTGTCTGTTATAGACAGGCGTGTGTGTGTCTGAGTTTGTAGGTGTGTCGTAGATATGTGTGGATGTTGTGTGTGTGTGTCTGTCAGTGTGTGTTTGTTTGTCTGTTGTAGACAGGTGTGTGTGTCTGAGTGTGTAGGTGTGTCGTAGATATGTATGGGTGTTGTATGTGTGTGAGAGAGAGAGAGAGGGTCGCTGATATTTGTGTTGTGCTTATGGCACTGTGTGTGTATGCATTTGTTGGAGAAATGCTGTTGGTTTATCTTTTGTGTTTGTATTTTCACGACCGTATGTCCGTGGTTGGTTGGAGGGCACCATGGTACATGATAGATACATGCATAGTATGAAGTATATAAAAATTGTGTTTGTATTGTGTATGATCGTTTGAATGTTCCACAATGCAACTTTTGTTCTGCTGTTGGGCATGTGTGAGGCATGCTGACGAAATGGAGATATTGTCCGAAAATCGACATTAGTGTTAAAGTTGAAGATTATCTATTGATGCCTATTTTTTAAATCTAAAACGTGTCTTCTATTATTTCATACTTATAAATTGAAAAAACTGTCAGCTACAAGCATGATGTATCTATTTCCTGAAGGCTTCAGTCCGAGAAGTCATTCATTTTGTCAGCACCCTTCACATAAATGTATGTGTCTGCTACGTCCTTACAGAGGTTATACAATCAAAGTAAATGCAAGATATGTCCACTGTTTGTCCCACTTGCAGGCACTCTCTGCCCTGAAGAAGCAGTGCGACCAGTACGAGAAAACCATCAAGGAGCAGGAGGGAGACCTACAGTCTGCCACGCAGGCCGCCTCCAGCGCCAACTCCAGTCTCAACAGTGTACAGGTCAGTCGGAGGTTAGGGTTAATGGGTTAATGTCAACAGTGAACTGGTGACTCTGTGGTTAGGGTCAGTGTCAACGGTGTACAGGTGACTCGGTGGTTAGGGTCAGTGTCAACGGTGTACAGGTGACTTGGTGGTCAGGGTTAATGTCCACAGTGAGTTGGTGGTTAGAGTTAATGTCCACAGTGTACCGGTGAGTGGATGGTTAGAGACAATGTCCACAGTGTACCGGTAAGTGGATGGTTAGGGTCAGTATCAACGGTGTACAGGTGACTTGGTGGTTAGGGTTAGTGTCAACAGTGTACAGGTCAGTCGGTGGTTAGGGTTAATGGGTTAATATCGACAGTGTGCAGGTGAGTCTGTGGTTAGGGTTAGTGTCAACAGTGTACAGGTGAGTCGGTGGTTAGGGTTGGTGTCAACAGTGTACAGGTGAGTCTGTGGTTAGGGTTAGTGTCAACAGTGTTTAGGTCAGTCGGTGGTTAGGGTTAGTGTCAACAGTGTTTAGGTTAGTCAGTGATCATGGAGTTTTCCACCTTATTTAGGTCATCGTCCTCATAAAGTGTCAGGTCTGAAACAGACCTGGACGAACATAGTTCTGTATTCATTTCTCCACTCAGATGCTTTTTAAAAAAATCCTGCATTATCCTGGTGCTTCCATGTCGCCCATCTGTTCAAGTTTTCCAATAAGTTTCTCTCGTCTTAAACTCTTACTCAGTGGGTGGTTGGTGGGTGCTCTGGTGTGGTTTTCTCCTTCCTTCCTATCAAACATCTATCATCCTTATCTCTCCTCGTTCTTTTTAGTGTATGTTGCTCTCTTGTAACACCTCTATTCTTCGACACTTGTAAGACCATATTGTGTTGCAAGTGTCGTAAAACTCTTACTAAAACTAAACTCTTTCTCAGAGAAAGAAAAAAAAAATGACCTTATGACCTTTGACTTTCCAGGGCGAGCTGACCCGCATCACGGAGGAGCTGGCCCAAGTGTACCACCTGGTGTGTCAGGTGACGGGCGACACGCCCTCGCGTGTCATGCTGGACCACGCCAAGAGCGGGTCGGTGCGGCCCGAGGACCGGCCGCCCAGCGAGGAGAGTTCTCCACCGGGCGTGTCCCCGGCCGGCGACGCTGACAGGTCACAGGTACGTGTTTGTTGGGGGGGGTAGACAGAATAAGGTAAAGTTCAGCCTCTCTATAACGACATCGTCGGGACCAGAAAAAAAAAAGTGGTTATAGAGAGTTGTCGATATAGAGAGGCAACCAAAAATATTACTAATGATAATTTACTATGTTTAAAAAAAATCGGGACCTGGGCTCCATGTCGGTATACAGAGGATGTCATTATATTGAAGGTCGTTATAGAGAGGCTGCACTGTATTTCAGACCAGATACGACCTGAGATGCCAATTTTCTTGATAAATCCAGAAATCTCGGATTTCTGAAATTATTCAGATATTGCACCATATGCAGTCTTAACATGCTGAAAACAAAATTAATGGGACTTTGCAATGTTTTTGTTATGTACCAAGTTCGCTGTGTATGTGTTTTAGACACAAAGAATGTACGTGCATGGGAAACAATTCTGGGCCTGAAAATATATTTGCTCTGTGGATGCCAGACTGTATATAAAAAATAATCTTGATACGAGTTGAATTCGAAAGTATGGTCTGTAAACTTTGAGTCCTCATGTGTGCATTTTCACAGGTTCTGAAAAGTTTGAGATTTTTTTCCTAGTCTGTTTGAAACACCATGAGGTCAGGTTAGTGCTGAATCACCTCTGTACGATGAAGTAGCTAGGGTAGGAGAAGATGGGATAAGATAAATAAGATATGACTAGGGTAGGAGAAGATGGGATAAGATAAATAAGATATGATATGTAGACCTCGGGTTATCTTGGTGGAGGGAAGTGTGGAAAGTTGTTTGTTCATGACCAATATCCTGATCTGGGGTGAGAAAATCATTGATGATGATGACGTTCTCTTGTCGGTTTCAGTCGGGCACGGTGGGCGAAGTGTCCAGCTCCGTCCCCCCAGCCCCCGTGTCCAGCTCCACACCAAAGTCTGCGGCCAAGTCTGGCCAGCTGCCGCCATCGGAGGCCAAGCAGGACCCCACTTCCTGCGGCACTCTCTCCAACACCATTGTGGATCAGGTGGGTGCTTGCGTGGAATGTTTATGGCTTCATGCGCATACTCATGCGGGCGCACATACACTCACACACACGTACAGATACATTTCATTTTCCTCTTTTAATTATCTTATTGCTCTTTATATGAAAATAGTCCTAATACAAAATATATAGCATGAAGACAACAATATGATTCTTTTATTTTAAGATTCTGTGCATGGTTTCCACGAGGTCTGACTGAAAGGTTCGGGTTTTTTTGGTAGCCTGTTGGTACCTCTGTTTCTTTCCCTATGTTGTTTCTGTCTGTCTGTCTATTTCCTTGTAATAAATAACAATTGTGTTGATGTGCTTCTCTTTGACAAAACTTCGTGGGTGGTTGGCGGGTGCTCTGGTGTGGTTTGTTCCTTCTTTCCTATCAAACATCTTTCGTCCTTATCTCTCCTTCTTTTTTGTGTTTGTTACTCTCTTGTAACACTTTTAATCTTCGGCACTTATATGACCTTATAGTGTTGCAAGTGCCATAAAACTCTGACTAAAACCAGGTGTGTTGTGTATGTCCCCAGGTTCGGTTCCTGCGCGGAGCCATCGAGCACCTGATGGAGTTGTCCCAGCAGTGGCAGCAGAGCGGGGACGGGCCGGGGGATACGCTCGAGGAGACACAGGAGCTGCAGGAACAGGTATGTGGGTTGGGGGATTGTGTGGGGGGTGGGTGTGTGTGTATGTGTGTGGAGAGACACAAGAGCCGTAGGAACCTGTTTGTAGGTTGTGAGGGGAGGGGGTGTTGAACATAGGAGCTGCAGGAACAATTATGTGGGTCGGTGGGTTAGGGAACATGCCAGGTGACGCACCCATGGAGATGCAGGAGTGGGTCTTATGCACTGTAGAATTGTAAATGGGCTGATTCAGCGATGCCATGCTGATAACTATTCCTGAACTGCAACAGGGAAGTGCTCCTTTTTCTTTCCTCATCCTTACTATCATCATTTACCTCTACTTCTGTTGTATGTTTGTCACTCTCTTGTGACCCGCTATTTCTAGAGCTGGGCAATGAGTCTCTTCAGCAAAATCCGAATATTTTAGTGCACCTCTTCGGCTAATAATATGATATGAACCGCTTTGGCAAATGGGTTAGAACCACTTCAACAAATGGGTGCACCCACTTTGGCGAACGAGTAAGGACTGAGAGTTAAGAGTCTGAATTCGGATAAAGTTTCATTGAGAGTTATCGGGTTATCCTTCTGGATTATCCGGATTTTGCCCACCTCTAGCTATTTCCAGGGTGCCTTGATAGTCGAAGCAGACTTTGTGCTGTTGAGGCTAGAGAGGTGAGCAGAGTAAGCCTGATTCCCTGTAAGGACTTCTCTGTTGACATCCACCCCTTGGCGCTCATATGACCTTATGCAGTTGCGAGCGCAGTAAAATCTCTACTAAAACTAAAACTCATCTTTCCTGCGTTTCCTCAGGTGGTCAAGTTGAAGGCCATGCTGTCCACCAAGCGCGAACAGATCGCCACGCTGCGCTCCGTCCTCAAGGCCAACAAGTCGACGGCCGAGGTGGCCCTGGCCAACCTGAAGCAGAAGTACGAGAACGAGAAGGTCATCGTCACGGAAACCATGATGAAACTGAGGAACGAACTCAAATCCCTGAAGGAGGACGCTGCGACCTTCGCTTCGCTCCGCGCCATGTTCGCCCAGCGCTGTGACGAGTACGTGACTCAGCTCGACGAGATGCAGCGGCAGCTGTCGGCTGCGGAGGAAGAGAAGAAGACGCTCAACTCCCTGCTGCGTATGGCCATCCAGCAAAAACTGGCGCTCACCCAGAGGCTGGAGGACTTGGAGTGTGACCGTGAGGCCCACCGCAATAACCGCAGGCATGGCGGGCCCAGGTCGGGCAAGATGGGGAACTCCAAGGTGAGAGGGTCGTGGCAGCTTGTGTCGTCAGTGGCGTGTCTCTAGTGTATTGTTTCTTTCTTTCCAGTGTGTGTGTACTTTGGTCACTATGTGTTGTGGTGGCGTGTTTCCTTTGTTGCTATGTGTTGATGTGTTAAGTGTGTTGTATCTTTCGTCACTATGTGTTGTTGTGGGGTATTTTCTTCATTGCTGATAAATTTTATTATTTTTTTCTGGTGTCTACATGTGTCACCATGTGTTGTGGAGGCGTGTTATCTTGACATCGTTTTGTTGTGTGTTGATGTGTTGTTGCGTGAGTATCTTTGTGCAGTGTGTCATTATGTGTTTGGGGGGGGGGTTCTTTACAGGGAATTATTGTGTGTTGACGTGTTGTGTGCTGTGAGGTTGTTGGTTTTTTTGTGTGTACCTGTGTCACCTGTATTGTTGGTGGGTTTGTTTTGTTTTTTTAATGTGTTGACAGGTTATTGTGTTTCGTTTTTTTTCTGAAATGTTCATGTATCACTATGTCACGTGATGAGGGTCCTTTCTTTGTTGTTGTGTGTTCTGTTTTTTTGTCCTGGTGTGTAGCTGTGTCATCACGTGATAAAGATGCGACTTGTTCAAAGTGTTGTGTATTTCTGGTGTGTGTACCTGCGTCACGACATGTTGTTGGGGGGGGGTCCTTTTCAGCGTGTCGACATGTTCAGTGTGTTGTGTTTTTTTACCTATACGTGTGTCACTTTCTCTTTTCTACAAGCTGTGTGTTGACCTTTTCCATGTTTCTAGCGTGTTCCTATCTCACAGTGTGTCGTGTTTTCCCTAACGTGTTCCTGTCTGTGTGTCATGGTTCCTAGAGTGTCTTTTTTCTCTCCATGTGTCATATTTTCTAATGTGTCCCAGTCTCACTGTGTGTCATGTCAACAGATAAATGAGTCAAGTTTCCTCCTGTGTACCTGTCTGTGTCACTTTTCTAGTGTGTGCCTGTCTTACTATGTGTCATTTTTTCTAGTGTGTACCTGTCTCACTGTGTGTTGTGTTAATACATAAGTATTTTATGTTTCCTCCTGTGTACCTGTCTGTGTGTCATGTTTTCTAGTGTATACCTGTCTCTCTATATGTGTCACGTTTTCTAATGTGTATCTGTCTCACTGTGTGTTGCGGTTTGGTTTTTTTCTGGAAGTGTGTTGTTGTTCTCCTCCTCCATGTTTCTATTCTGTGTGTTCGTTCCTCCGGTCGCTCTCTCCCTCCCTCCCTCGTTCAAGGAAGAATAACCATGTAGATTTTTGTTGTAGCAACTGACAGCTCAACGGGTGGCTGGCCCTTTAGCCCTAACCCAGGACGAGACGACCACAGCAATAGTAGTCTACCAACTGGGAATCTGGTTCAGGGGTTACGGGTTTTTCCCCTCACCTCATTCCCCCACCCCCATTCGTTACCTTGTTTGTTTTTTGTTTTTTTTTGTTGAGCTGTTGGTTTGGCCTGTGCTCTTTGACCTTTAAACATTTTGGTTTTGTCGGTGTTGGTGTTTTTTTGTTTTGTTTTGTTGCTCATGTGGACCCCCCCCCCTCATTAGCTCCCCGATGGGCCCTTTAGTTTGTTAGCTGGCCGGCATAGGGTTTGGCTCAGTCAGTGGTTTGTGTTAGCTTATCAGTGTTTCTTACTGACAGCTCCATGGCTGCAGCGAGCTACTCCACCCTGCAACACCACCACCACCATCATCATCCCTTCCCCCGCCCCCACCCCTGTCCACACAATGCAATATAGCGGGTGGTTGGAGGGTGCCACTGATAGTTCCCTACTTCTTCCCCCCCCCCCCTGTTGTTTTTGTGTGAAGGGCAGGTTATTTGTCCTCGACTGCAAATACCCCTGGTTAGTATCATTTTGTTGTTTAGGTTTTTCCATATTGATACTACCCAGTCCTTGCAAAGGGACCTGCCAAGCCAAAACCTGGCCACACTCGGCTCTTATTGTCTCGCAAGCTGGCCTGTGGCTGCCCCCTCTGGTGTGAGGTACACACATCACACACTCACTCCTCCCTCCCTCCGTCACTCATTCACACGCACTCACTCACTCACTCAGCCACTCATCAGGCAGCAGAAGAAGGCAGCATACCCCACCACCAACACCAGAAATATACCATCAGCTTCAGCCAACTCCACTACCATTCTACCCCACACACACACACACACACACACACACACACACACACACATACACAGACAGACAGACACACTGACGCCCCGGTGTTACGTTTCCCAGTATGCCTCAGCCACATACACACAGACAGACACACTCACGCGCACACAGCGCTGAC